CCCCTGTGAAGGAGGGAGGGGTTTCGGGGATCCCCTCAGGCAGCCTTTTGGAAGGGGAGGGGGCTCATTGTTGTGGGAAACGCCTCAGACAACCCCTTGGGAGGGCACAGGGGGTCCTGGCCGTGGGGAGCCACTCAGACACCCCCCTGCCATGAATGGCGCAGGGGTTCCTTGTCATGGGGAGCCCCTGGGACACCCCCTGTGAAGGGACAGGGGTCCTTGTCACGGGGAGCCCCTAGATAACTCCACATAAGGGCTTGGGGGGGATGTCTTTGCTCAGACACCCTCTTTGAGGGGGAAGGAGCACCCTTGTGTCACCAAAATCAGGAATGGAACTCCTTAGTGCCGAGTTTGGGATTCACGAGCGGGCACTGCTGTGTTCGGCGTGAGGGACACGGGGGATCTCTCTGCCCACCATGCACGCCGGGTCTTGCAGCGGCCTGAGCTCGTGTCAGTCTGTTACACACACGTGCATTAGGTTTCCTGGAATAATCGTACATATTCTTTCTGTTTGGTGGAACTGATGATCATATTCGCAGGCTCGGAGCTCTGAGGGGTTTCTATGATGGTCTCTGGTGGTCTCCTGTGGCCTCTGGTGGTCTTTAGGAGAAGAACTTTTCTTAAGTTGTCCAAATTCTTCTTTATCTAGTAAGGACTTGGCTCAGTTTGTTTTGTCTGTTACAGTCCTTGACTCCTCATTTTGTTCTGACCACTTTTCTCAGGCACTTTCTAAAATACAATTATTTGCGTGAGCTGTTTGAGCTCGTTTGATTTGTAGCTTATCTTTCAACACTTGTCCTGGGGAGCCCCTCAGGCACCGTCTCGGAAGGGCAGGGGTTGTCCTCACCGTGGGGAGCCCCTCGCTGCCCGTACCCCCGTGAAATGGGGGGGGTCAGGGCCCTGGCTGGGGGGGTCTCGTGTCCCACGAGGCTCACGTCAGGCCCACGAGTCTGTCCCCTCTCCCCGAGGCAGGGCAGTGCTGCCAGGGCGGCAGAAACATTTTGTGGGTAAAAATAGCTGGTTGGTGCGGGGCACCAGCTGTCACTGCCCTGCTGACTGGCAGGGAGACGCCTTCCCAGAGAGATTCTGCTTTTCCCTGCGCTTTCTCAGGGTGGGTTCTCTCCCCTGCCCTGAGCTGTGCCACCGTCCCAGAATCCGCTTCCCTTTGCTGCGGGGCACATCCCCGGGGGCGCCGGCAGCGTGTCAGGGTTGCGCAGAAGTGCTGCTGTATGTTGGAGCCGGCGAAAGCTGTGGCACAGCCAGAGCTGGGAGGCTGCGATCGCTGCCATTCAGCTCCTGAACAGCCCTCGTGTGCTTTTTTTCCTCTTGTCTCTTTTGGTTTCCTCCCCATCGCTCTTCAGCTGACCGACCAGACCTCGTACTCGGTGGCCGCGAAAGCTCAGGGCGTTGTTTTTCCATCCGTTATTGCTCTTAATTGGGTTTTCTTTTAAACGCTGTTTACCTGGTTTATTTAGGGAGGGGGAGAAAAGAGTAACAGCAGGTTTGTTTGTAGAGGCATTTAGTTGGGCTTGTGTTTACAAAACATACTCACGTTCTAGATTAGCAAATTGCTCCTCCTCCCTGTTCCTCTTCTCACTGTGAGTCTGCAGCACCCTTGGAAAGGGCACCTTTGGTGAAGACTGTTTTAAAGGTAATTTTCAGACAAAAAATACATGGTCTGCCACTTATTTTCCCTGTGGTTACAGTGGTCTGAGTTTAAACGTTAAAGCCTGATAGCGGCTTTCAGGGTGGACCAGCTCATACTCAACTTTTCTGCTGGGAGGTCTTGAATAACTGAGCGGGATCTTTATCGTCGTCTTTTCTTCTTCCTTTCAGACAGTGTTTGTTGGGAAGAACAAGCCGCAGAAAGATCCCCTGAGCTCCTCCCGCTGGCAGGGCTTCAGACTGGAGGAATATCTCATCGGGCAGCCCATCGGGAAGGGCTGCAGCGCCGCCGTGTACGAAGCAGCGATTCCCTTCCCTGGCAGTCGTGGCTCGGCCGAAGAGGAGCCCGTAGAGAAACACCAACCGAAAGAGGCGTTTCCGTTAGCTATCAAAATGATGTGGAACATTTCGGTAAGGATGAGTGTTGAAAACGCTGAGCTTGTCAAAGCAAAGCTGTGGTTAAGCGGCACTGGAGATGTCGATTGCTTAATGAATGGTCCCAGGGTGAGATAATTAGCATTCGTCGTGCCTCTGGAATTGGTGAGGAGAGCTGCTGCTCTTGTTGGTTACAGAGGTGATGTTTGGGGAAGAAAAGAAGCTGGTGTAAGAACAGGGAAGGCACTGCTGCTGGTGGAGTCGGTGTTCTTGTCTGCGCTGCAGCAGGGAGAGATTTTTCTCCTGCAAAGTGTGGCTGAGATGCGAGTCCATCCCCTGCACACCAGGCAACTCCCTGGTGTTCCAACTCCTCAGTGTCGCTATTCTGCATTAAAAAAAAAATGCACATGGCTTTTCCCCTTGAAGAGATGTTGTGGCACTTGACGCAACAAGCGGATATTCTAAGGGAGTCTTCTGAGACACCAACATCTGACACCCCTTGGGCTCCAGCAATACCCCAGTGCTGACCTGTGGGCTTTCCCAGTCAGGTTTTGAAGCTGTGAGTGTTACCGTGTAGCTCAGAGTGCAAGGAAAGGCCTTGCCGTGTCCCTTGGTAAATTCTCTAAGGAGTTAATCGCCTTCCCAATTTTCAGAGCACAGAAGGGAGTCCCTTTGATCTAACCTCAGGTGATGTAACTCCAGACAGAGCATCAGAATTCTCTGCTTTCGGTCTGTGCTGAGGCTGGATGGTTTTGGAGCTTAACCCGCTGTGGTTTGTCGTTGCTGTTGCAGGCTGGTTCGTCCAGTGAAGCCATCCTCAGCGCCATGGGCCGAGAGCTTGTCCCAGCCACACGGGTCGCCTTGGCCGGAGAATACGGGGCCGTCTCCGCTCGCAGGTATGGTCCCTGCGGGAGTGGCGGCGGTTCTCAAGCGGCGACACGCTGATTTTATCCATCGGTGGATTTTGCAGTGCGTCTGTGCTGTTAACGTGACAGCCAAAGGTGTTTCTGTGAGGGTTCCTGGAAGTGGATAAAAACCAAGAGTTAGGAAACGGCAGAGCGATGCTGCTGCTGCTCCAGCGGTGATGGAACACGGGTGTTTGCTCCGAGGAGCAGGCATGGCAGGGCGTGCTGACGTGTGGGGAATACCTGCGGCTCAACGGTGCCAGCATGGGTGCTGTCGTCCAAAAGGGTATCAGAATAACTGGAGACAAATTGAGGCCCTCTCAGTGGTCAGATGGGTGCCCGTGACCGGGTGCTCCTGTGCCTTCGTTTCCCTGTGTGTAAAATGCGTTGGTATGTGCGGAGCTAAAGGCTGAGAGGAGCTACTCCTGATTAAAGAGAAATGTTTGATCAGAAGTAAAAAGCAGAAATGCTGTTCAATTAGAAGTATGAAGCAGAAATGCTTTTTAGTTACAGAAATGTTCACCTGCAACCAGTAACAGTTTGTCTGTATTTAAACACCAAACAGTTTGACTGCAGTACGGTTTGCCTGTGCTAATTCAGAACTGGTTTGGTTGTAAAATGGGTGCTGAGCAGGGAGGTGGAAACTTGTTCCAGTGCAGGGAAACTGGTGAGAAAGAAAATGGGAAGCGACGCGGTTCCCACTCCCTCACGTGCCTGGGAAGTGAGCAGGCAGCAGGCAGGTGAAAGACTGCACGGAAGCTTTTACATTCTCTCGAGTGAGGTTTAAAAAAAAGCTTCTTTTTGTTCGATTCAAAACAATGGGGTCTGCAGCCCGGATTGTCTCATCTAAATTTCAGATAATGAGCGCTGCGTGGCACGTCTCCAGCGGCGAATGCGGTGGAGCAGCCGAAGGGATATTTGACATTCTGGGGATGAGAGGGGAGAGAGATCTAGTTTGCAGATAGGCGTAGGTGTAACCTGCTCTTCCTTGTAGTGAGCGCTTCCTGCCTGTGCCGGGAAATAGAGCGTCTAAATTGATTTGGCTGGTGCGAAGCTGACCTTTATTTTATATCTAACAGAGTAATTGCATTTGGTTTGGTATTTTTGGGCTGGTGTTTTTTTTTGTTTTCTCTGAAGCTGTTGTAGTTCTTTTCAAACCAAGAAGCAGCCCATGACTAGCTCTGCCTTTAGCAGCAGCACAGGAGGGGTAGGAGGGATTTAATAAAAAGAAAGCCGGTGTGATCAGCCTAAGAGTTTCCAGAAAAGCTTCTGTTGCTGTAAAGCTCAGGTATTTCTTGTTTGACTGTTGTATCCAGGGAAATCCAGTGACCACAGAGTCCTCCCGCCAGCCGCAGGTGAAGTCTTAGCCCCTGTGTCCTCCTCTGTTGGTGTGTTGGCGGGTGGTACTGCTGCGGCGAGGCTGGCTTGGCTGTGGGGAGCGCCCGGGCGGATTTTTGAACTCCTGTGTTGGAATATTTGCTTCATGTCGGTCCTGTAATCTATACTGGGCAGCCTTTAATTCTCTCACAAGGTTTTTTGCTGCAGAATAGAAGTGTTTGAGCACTGCTTTGGAACTCTTTGGTGGAGAGGACGGGCTGTATTAATGAAAAGTAGCTCCAGAAATAAGAGATGCGTGTGATAAATTGGAATTGACCAGGAGACCGATGTGATCTGTGGGATTTGCTTATGTGCAGAAAACCTGTCCTTGGGAGGAAGAAGTTGCAGCCTCATCCGAATATAATCCAGGTGATCCGAGCCTTCACATCCTCTGTCCCTTTGCTGCCCGGAGCCTTCGTGGACTATCCCGACGTTCTTCCATTAAGCCTGAACCCCCGAGGGATCGGCTACAGCCGCACGCTCTTCTTGGTGATGAAGAAGTAGGTAGAGAGAAGCTCGTTAATGCGATTCGGGTTTTTTGTGCTGCTGCACGGGTCCCTGCAAAGCTCTGGCCTGGGCTGCTGCCAAAAATCCTGCTCTGCTCTTTGGCAGCCTCCTTTTGGGAAGGCTTCATAAAACCCGTTCCAAGTCCTTGAGGTTTTAACTCTTGTTCAGTGATGAAGACAAGCCGTTCTTTTTAATAATCGCCCGAAATTAAAGTAAGAAACATAGAGCTCATCCTCGTTTGTCTGCCCTTCAAAGCCTGAGCTTCAACCCCAGTCTGAACACGCCACCAGAGACCGAGTAGAATTGGTAATGAGATTCCTGAGTGCTGGTGTCTGGCTTTCTCAGCTGGATGTTGGTTTTGAATGGGTTTCGCAGTGGCATCGACATCAAAGCACCTTCCGTTTCCCACCCTGTGTCTGGAGAAGCGCTCGGTGCTCCCTGTACTCAGGAATATGTTCTTCCTCCTGATTAGCACAACCTCCTTGTTTTGCTCCTACCGTCTGTGTTACTGATCTGCCTCCTGTGCCGTGCAGAGCATTATACCAGTAGGCAAAACCCTGTGAGAACAACCCCTGTGTACCTGGAGCGCCTTGTCCTGTGTTCGAGGGGCTGATTTTATGCACAGTCGCCGAACACAGGTGGGAGCACTGACATTGCGGTGCTGGGTGTTGTTGCAAACCCCAGGGTTTGAGAACGGCTGAGAGGGGAGTGGTGTTGAGGCTGGGGTGTGGAAGGCCAGTGGTTGAGGTTGGGAGGAATTTGGCACGTACGAGCACACCCTGTACCCAGCCAGCCAGCACCGAGGTCAAGCCGTGAGCTTGAGCATCCCAGGATGCTAATTCAGAGTTTTTGCCTTTTTCTGACCAGTTACCCCTGCACCCTGCGCCAGTATCTGCAGGAGAGCAGCCCGGATGTTCGTCTCTCCACGATGATGATTTTACAGCTCTTGGAAGGTGTGGACCATCTTGTTCGACACGGCATAGCGCACAGAGACCTGAAGTCTGACAACATCCTGGTTGAATTTGATTCTGGTACGTAGATGGCCGAGTATAAACGCCGGTTAAGTCACGCACAGAGGTGGTGCAGTCGTGTGGGTACTCAGGGAGGCGCATTTGGGGGAAAACGAGCATCAGGCACAAGCACAGCGAGCGCCGGTTGGGGCAGACGGGCGTCACTGTGTCTGTCACGCTGGAGGTGCCTTTGCTTCAGGCTCCGTCATCGCTCGGTAACGCAGCAGCGCCGAGTGGTTCTTAAAATCCCACCTGGCGGTCAGGTTAACAGCGCTGCGCCCTGGGACGGCGAGACGGCAGTTGGAAGACGAGGGAAGCGAAAGCCAAAAGCGACATTTTCACCAGCTGGCTCTCCTGTAAGCCTCGCTAATTGAGATTTTAATTACCTGAGCGCTTTTTCAGCGTGATCGAGATTTTAAATGGGCAGGAACCAGTAGCAGGCAGGCAGAGCTGTGTAAGTAAAGGTCGTGGTTTAACAACAGCGGCAGGTTCTCAGCGATACCGACACTGTCCTTCTTTTCCTGAAGGAAATGCTGCTCCAGAGCGATGCTGAATGCAGTTAGGAAAGATCTTAAGCATCAATTTTTTTCCATATCGGAGTCTGGAGAAAAAGTGTTTCCACTTGGCAACATCTGATTTGTCATCAGGACAAGAACTGTTAACCAATGCAAAGTTTCTGCAGCCTTTCGAATAGCAAAGTACATACATCGACAGCTTTTGCTACAGATAAAAACAAAAGGGAAAAAAACTAATATATTCCTCCATGAGGGATGAGGCCCTAACCTCGTGTATCTTCTTTTTTCTGGTATCCTCGGCGTCGTTTGCAGCTGGCTGCCCTTGGCTGGTCATCACCGACTTCGGCTGCTGTTTGGCAGATGAGAACATCGGCTTGAGGCTGCCCTTCACCAGCAGTTACGTGGATCGGGGCGGCAACGGCTGTCTGATGGCACCCGAGGTAAATCCCCCTGCGGCACCGGGGGGCGGTGCTGGTTTCCCCTTGTCCTTCTGGCAGGACGGGGAGGTTTCAGCCCCCGGCTGCAACGGGGGCTTGGAGAAGGGTGGGATTAAGTCTAGGAGCAGTGGAGGGGAGTCACTTGGCTGGGATTTTTCCCCCCACGTGCTGGTCTCTGCTGGTGTGTGTACACACACGGCCTCTGCGATCCCATCTATCCTTTTCTACCTGTTCCTGCTCGGGGACATAACTCAGCTGTGTGAGGCAGTTCCACGGTAACCACCTACATGTCTTCACCTCACCCCGTGCTTGCTCCCTCCTGGAGTGCCGTGTCCTGTGGAGCGGTGTCGGAGGTGCACGTCCTAACCTGGGTTGTGCTTTCTGCCTTCATTTAAAAAGTCCTCTCTGGATCTGTGCCAGGCCGTTGTCGAACAGACACCTTGAGCCCTGAAGGGTGAAATGGAGTCAGTCGGTGTTAGGAGCCAGAATTGACCTTTCCCACGAGAAGTTTGCTCTTTGGCGTTTTCTCGAGCCCCTTTCTCTGTGGCTGTCCAAGAAGCTCCTCGTGTTGCAACAGGGGGTTCTGGATGAAGTCCTAATTGGCTGTGAAATTATTTACAGCTCTTTTTTTATTTCTCTGAGGATACCCATAATAAAAGCAAAGTTCCTTAACTGTCCACTTGACCTGGAGCACCTTGCTGAGGTGCAGTGTCAGTTGTTTATCCATTTCTCTCCTCCCTGTCTAAAATCCCAGCAGGAAATCGCCCTTGGCACTCCCTGAGTGCTGGTCAGGGGCAATGAGCAGGCCCATCCCGGTGAGTTGGGTGATGCTGAAGACATGGAGCAAGCCAGCAGGGAATGCTCACACCAGGCATTTAGATGAAGCCTGGCTTTCGTTTCGGTCTCTCTCAGTTTGTTACAGTGGAAACGCTGGTTCAACCCTTGAAAATTAAGTTTTGGCACCGAGCCCGCACTTGAGCTGTTTGTTTGAACATCCCTGTCTCTGTGACAGGTGGTCACGGCGTCACCCGGGCCGGGCACGGTGATCAACTACAGCAAAGCCGACGCTTGGGCTGTCGGAGCGATCGCCTACGAAATCCTCGGTCTGGCCAATCCTTTCTACGGCCACGGGGACTCGACTCTGGAAAGCAGAAGTTACCGTGATGACCAGCTGCCGAGCCTGCCCGACGGCGTGCCCCTCGAGGTGAAGCAGGTGATAAAGATGCTGCTCCGGAGGGATCCTGACAAGGTAAGAAGCTGCTGCCTTGAGGACGTCACCTAACCGGCCCTCGGGAGCGGTGTCCGTGGATCGACTCACCCCGGAGGGCTGCGGCTGCGGGACTGTCACCAGGTGTTGCCACCATCTAGGGAACGATCCGAGAGAGACAGTCAGTCTGTGTGGAGGTGTAGCGTGGCCCCTCGCATGGTCCAGGGCTGTTGGCGGGTGTTTGTGTTAGCGACCGGACCTTGAATTTGGGCGTTATTTGTGGTTGCCTGGTCAGAATAGTCACAAAGAGGTTTTTAATTTGGAGGGACTGTGCGGTTGGTGCCTTAGAGGAGGCTGGGGGGACTCATGGCAGCGCGTGGGCGAACGACGTGGCATGAGTACAGCCGGCCTGGCTAATCCTGCCTCTCCTTCCTTTTGCAGAGGTTGTCCGCTAGAGTTGCTGCTAACGTGCTTCACCTCAGCCTCTGGGGCGAGAGTGTTCTGGCCTCCAAGGCCCTGAAACCCGACCAGATGATCGCTTGGCTTCTCTGCCAGTCTGCGGCCGCCTTGCTCATGGACAGGCTGGCGGATAAAAGCCGGGTAGAAACCAAAATGAAGATGTGCTTTTTGGCAAACCTCGAGTACGAGGACCTCTGGGCGGCGATATTCCTGTTGCTGGCCTGGCGAAGCCGATCTGAATGAAGACCTGGGATGCATCTGTGCCGTAAAGCACTTTCTAAATGCACGTAGGAATCTGTCTTCTCTGTCTGCCCGCAATCCTGTAGTGCTGTAGGGAACAAAACCGCGGGCCCGTGTGTCAGAGGTTGTCTCTAGCACACGTTAGTACGCGCTGCTTTTCTCCCCCTGCTAGAGGAAACGCCCTCACTCTGTTACTCTAGTTGTGAGCACCTTGCAGGAGTCCTGAGGTTGGTTTTACTCATGTTTGGGAATTCTTGATTGACTTCTGAGTTGTTGAAGGAAGCGAGTTCCCTTTCGGAAGAGGGTCGGTGTGGAGGAAGCCCCGTCTAGCTGCACCTCACAGGGAAGTGTCACCGATTGAAACACTGCGCCGAGAAAGCCGAGCTGACGGAGGGACGTGCAATCTTGTTGTAGGGAAGCCCATGGTGGTCTTCAGATGATTCCTCTGCAGCCGAGGCTGGATCCTGCTGTAAAATGACAGCCTGGTGAGGTGCTCCCTGGTAACGTGAGCGTCAGGACCTGCTGCCTTCTTACCATAACACCCATCAAACACCTCGCCA